CATTGAAGGAGCAAGAGGATTTGTAAGCGATATTTAAATCTATGGATGAAAAAGGAATGCATAAATGTCACTTAGAAATTAAGTGCTATTTCATCATTATAATTAATCATCACTTTCCATCCCTGGCAGTGGTAAAGGCCAGACTAGAAGGGGCTTTGAGCCACCTGGTGTAGTGGAATTTGTCCCTGTCCATTGGAACTGGATAAGCTTTAAGGTCTCTTTCAACCCAAACCATTCTATGGCTCTATGCTGAGATATTGTTAGGATTAAGAAATTTTGTGTGGTGTTCTGAATAGAAATTCAGAATAACTTAGTTACTAGGAAGTCTTTTGCCAGAATGTGAAGGCAGAGAACTCACCCCACTCCTCTGTCTCCCACTCATGATTTGTTTTAATACCCACATAATGATTTATCATGTCTCTGATCCACCACAGCCAGGAACCTGCTATAAGCTTTTATTTGCGTGGCACAAATTCTTGTTGCTCCACCCTTGCGTGCTATGACTCAGGCATAATTTTAGGTTGGCTCAGCTTCCTCCATTTTGTGGCCTTATAGATGTACACAGTCACAGATTTGTTTTTCTAACCACGGAAAATATAGGACATGACTTTCCAAGGAATAATTTGTCACGCTAGCCGGGTATTTCATTTCAAGAGCCAATCGTGAAGCCAAAAAACTTAACAAATGAGCAACGTCCCCTTTTCTAGCTGGTTTACTGAGATGACATCTGTGAATTAGACCACTGGTATCATGGTTAGCTTTTAAAAGTTTCTTTAGCAGCATCTTTTCAAGTTCAGTGCTGAATTTACTGAATAGTCCTACATCTCCTTCTGTCATGACTAAAGAACAAAAGTAAATTTCCACAGTTTAATGAAAGCATGCAACTCAGTGAGTGCAAGAAGAAGGTATAAGACGAAGAAGAAAACCAAATAGACTCTACTGCTGCTCTTTACTGCCATGTTGATGTAACCTCTGCTGTATCACAATGAATGTCTGGGCAATCTTGCAGTGAACTGGGCAGGAATCTGACTGATATTGGTTACTTTTCAGCACAAAACAAAAATTAAAATAACGGGGAAAAAAATCAGTAGAAGCAGGGAATACTTCAGTTGCCAAAAACAGGATCGTGGATCATTACCTGGAGGGAAGATATAGAAGAAGGACTGGATAAATTAGAAGAACTAGGACCAAGAGATAAAACTGGTGGTGTTGCATTGAGTTTGATGCAATTTCAGCCTGCTGGAAGTTCAGGTCACATTCCCACCCTAAAGCCCCTTACATAAAATGTAGCCAATGAGCCAATCAAGAAAAGTTTTGAGAGGTTTTTTTTAGGTTTGGGGGTGTTGGGGTTTTTTTTGGATCACCTCAGTGACTCATTTTACCTTGCAGCAGCCATAAAATCAGCAGAACCAACGCAAAGGAAATGGCAGGGAGTGGGAAAGAGGAACTAACTGTCTTCAATTAGATTTCATATCACACACTAAGGGGACTAAGTCTAGTTAACAAAGGCTTAAAATACTACATTATAGTAAAGGTTGCACACTGAATCAAAAGAGGACTGGTAGAATAAGAAGAGGTAACAGGTCACAAAATAGAGGAGCACTGCAAAGTATTCCTATTTATATTTGTTGAGTCTTCCAGGGGTGAAAGATTAAATAAATTGGGAAAAGTTAGAGAGCACAGAAACAAGAGACCTGTAAACAAAGACAGCCACAAGTAAAAGAAACTAGGAAAAAAAAACACAGCAGGGAAAAAAAAAAGGGAGCTGGAGAAAATGTATGTGTTTATTGGCTGCAGACAGAGAACTGCCTGAAGAACAGGATGATCTGCCAGGGTGCCTGCAAAAGCCCCAGTCGCCTGACCTACGGAAGAGAAAGCCCACGGGAGAGCAGAATTAAGTGAGCAGAGAAGGGAGAGAAGGAAGTCAGGCTGATTTCGAAATGTTACTTTTTAGATGTTTGGAGGGGGGTGAGGGGGTGCAGACCTACATCAGCTAGACTCTGAGTTTCAAGTTCAAATTCTCCATAAACTTTTCTCCTTTCCTGAGTCTCTTTCAATACACACATGGAAACCTACACAGACACTTTCATTTGAGCAGTGCCAATACTATTCATTATTTTCGTCGGGGATTTGCTGCAATGTATTTGATAATGCCCAAACAACCCCACCTCTGGATGGGCTCTTGTTTAACACTATCTTTTCTGGTAAAAATGTCTTTTAGGTTTAGAACTTGTAAATCTTCACTCAGGAAACTGGAACAAAGTATGTCTGTAAAACACACAAGATTTAATTTCTAATTTTTAGCTGTTGGGAGTGAAAATCCTAATAAAGCTCAAGCCATGATTTCACGATAGAGGGGCCAGAGTACTCATTTTCCTCTATGCATTTTCCCTTGGCCTTCCCACCAATGCTTCTAGGATTGCACTGTGAAGCAGAAGAGTGAATCAAATTGAGGTAGAGTTAATTTTCCTTCCTTTAAATCCAGTCCCTTGTGTCACCTCACAAACACTGAAATGGTGAGAAAATAGTGTGGGAACTCAACCGAGCAGCTGGGGGAAGATGAAGCAGTGGGAATTGTTAAAACGTGTTCACTGCCAAAGCTTCTCTACAATGAAAATGCAGACTCAGTAAGTAAAAAGAAACATAAAAAGACAGATTTATTTGCTACTAAAATCATTTTCCAGTGTAAGTAAACTGTTAGCTAGAATAAGGTGCACTGCTGAACTAAGGGGCTAGGAAGGAAGTATGTATGTATACAAACAAGACAAAATAAAAGTGCACAGAGGAACAGAGGTCAGGGTGGCCGGGTATGTGCGTGTATATAAACCACACCATGGACAAAGATAAAATTGCATGGACAATCTTCATATTGGCATTTGCTAGGTTTTTCATCATTTCACTGCTGACACATTTGTTCTCTTTTACTATTTCTATTGCAATGACCTCTATATTTTAGAATAATTTTTTTTTTACAAGAAAAGCAGCTTGGACAGTGAAAACCATACTGTCTCACATATGTCATTTACTAACAAGCTTCATGACCTTTTTGCCATTGGATTTCACAGTTGCTGCACTGTAGTGATGGGCTGTTGAGACTCAATAGCCTTTAGATCTACATGAGAGAACACTCCAATGTGTATCACCTTCATAATTCTCCACCATCATCTGTCCAGTCTTTCCTTTCTGTTTCTAAACCCTCTACCCCAGGGCTGACGTCCTTTTTTTCTGCCTTACTACTGCTTTTGCAATGAAGTCAGGCGCTGCTTCTTTGCCACTCTTCATGTATATCAAAAAAAGGAGATGGTGAAGGGACAAGGAAATGAAACCCCTCTCCCAAATCCGGTCTCAGCCTGTGGGAGAAACAATTTGAGGAAGATTTCAGGAAGCTGTGAGATTAAATATGTTCTGTCATCCTCTAACAGAAGCAAATCTAAAGGTGGCTCGCTACTTAAGAGCTGGGAGGGCTGGGGCTCTTGCACAGTGTGGGATTTCTTTTTTCTGTCTTTTTGATAACATTGAAGAAAATGCCCCAATATAGTGAAAGAAACAACAAAAACTAGAGAAATATGTCTTTTTAATGAAGAAGATTATGGAAGATTACTTAGCTCTTTCATAAATAATTCTACTTTGACACACACAGGAACGTCTTGTGCACAATTTCCATCAGCTGTGGAAATTCTCAGGATGATCTGACCTACCAGCTGTGGCTTCATGACCACGTGCAGGCACAGAGCTGCCTGGCATAGTTCTGCTTTCCATTCAGATCACACTTACAGGCTGTACTTGATATTTTCCACAACACCAAATATGAATACCTGGGACTTGAGTTTTTAACCCTCTTCAACAGCAACTTTTTCCTTTCCCTCCTCCACAGGCTCATGAAGTGAAAAATAACAACCCCTGACGAACAATTTTTATTTCCTAGAAAGCTCAGGTTAGCGTAACCCCAGCCTGAGACATGAAAGGACAAAGTTACCATCCAGCACATGTTCTGCATACACTCAAGGTACCAGAATTTGAGTTTTGTTTCCTCCCTGCCCCTCAGCAAACTCTCCCCAACCTCCTTTCCTATATGTACTTATTTTGTTTCACTGCTAACAAAGCCCAAACAATACGTGTCCCCAGCCTGCTCTGTATGGTACATTACGAGCTAATGATCATAGAATCACAGAACATAGAATCAACTAGGTTGGAAAAGACCTTTAAGTCCAACCAGGACTGCCAAGGTCACCACTAAACTGTGTCATTAAGGGCCTCATCCATACATTTTCTGAACATTTCCAGGGATGCCGATTCCACCACTTCCCTGGGCAGTCTGTTCCAGTGCTTGACAACCCTTTCAGTGAAAAAATCTTTCATAATATCCAATCCCAACCTCCCCTGGCGCAGCTTGAGGCCGCTACCTCTTGTTCTATCACTTGTTATTTGGGAGACCTCACTACAACCCCTTCCAAGTAGGGATAGAGAACGACAAGGTCTCTCGTCAGTCTCCCGTTCTCCAGGCTAAACAACTCCACCACCCTCAGTTGTTCCTCATAAGACATGTGCTCCAGACCCTTCACCAGCTTCACTGCCCTTCTCTTGATCCGCTCCAGAACCTCGATGTCTCCCTTGTAGTGTGGGTCCCACAACTGAACAGAGTATTCAAGGTGCGGTTTCACCAGTGCTGAGTACAGAGGGACAATCACTGCCCTGGCCCTGCTGCAACACAATTTCTGATATAAGCCAGGATGCAGTTGGCCACCTTGGCTGCCTGGGCACAAGCTGGCTCATGTTCAGTGGCTGTCAATCAGCACCCCCAGATCCTTTTCCACTGAGCAGATTTCCAGCCACTCTTCCCCAAGCCTGTAGCATTGCATGGGGTAGTCGTGGCCCAAAACAGGATCCAGCACTTTGCCTTTTGAACCTCATACCTCATACACAGGTTTGGATCATCCATCCAGACTGCCCAGATCCCTCTGAAGAAGCTCCCTACCCTCCAGACGATCAGACACTCCTACCCAATTTGATGTGTAAGTGTGCGCTGGGTAACTGCACAACCAGGCCCCAAGCCACACACGACCAGCTCCACGTTGACGATAGCAGCCCGGCCGCCGCGACAGGCGGGACCACATGCCGACACCCTCCTCCCCGCTGCAGGGCCCAAGCTACAGCCGCTCTAGGCGGACCTCCCTCCACCGCCCCCGCCCTTCTCTCCCTGGGAGAATCCAACTGCTGCTGGGGAGCAGGGGAGTTCCCGATTTCTGTGGCAGCGCGGAGGGGTGAGGAGGCACAACCGCTCGTTCCTCCCGCCTCTTCACTATGCTGCTCTGAGGCGATGCCAGCCGCCGAGGTGAGGGAGAGTGAGGCTCCAGGAGCCACTGCATCCCTATACTCCCCGTCTCGCAGGAGCTGTGGTCTCGGCCGGAAGCGGCGGGTGGTGCCTGGCGCCGAGCTCTGGCGGCGTCGGCGCTGGCGGTTGAACAATAGTGGCGCGGGGTGGTGAGGTGGGTGGTAGTACGGAATCGGACCAGCTCGGACCGGACCGCGTGGCGGTGAGCGCGGTGAGGAGCCTGAGGAAGGGGCTGGGAGGGAGCCGGATGGGAGGGACCAGGGCAGCCCAGCTCAGCCTGCGGGGAAGGGAAAGGAAAGGAAAAGGGTGCGCGGGCGGTGAAGCGGCGGAATGGCTTGGTCCCTGCCGTCCCACTGTACGGCCTGGCTGCCCCCCCCCCCCGAGGAAGAAACTTTCCCGGGACGCTGCCTCCCTCGTTCCGCCTGCTTTGGGCGGGCCGGGCGGCGTGAGGCGCTGCCAGGCGGGGGGCTGCCGGCTCTTCGCCCGGGGGGCGGTTGAAATAACGGTCCCGTCCCTTGTGGTGACCCGTTCCCCCACCCTTCCACCACAGGGCACTATGAACGAAGAGCAGTTTGTGAGCATCGACTTAGACGATGACAACGTCTGCAGCGTCTGCAAGCTGGGGACCGAGGAGGAAACGCTCTCCTTTTGCCACGTTTGTTTCGAGCTGAACATCGAAGGTAACGCTCTAGAGGAGTCGTCCTGTGCGAGCTTCGTACTTGCACTGCTTGGCTTAGAGCTGGAGCAAACAGAGCTTTTCTGTGAAGGCTTTCATAAAGACTTAGGTTTGGAAAGGTGTATATTTATAAAGTTTTCTTGCTGGCCGAACTACTTTAAGTTCCTAAATACCGCATTTCCAGTAAAGGTGAGTGCCCTAGCTGCTGTAGATGTAAAGATACACCCCTCTTCAAAGAGCTTCTGAAATCCCCTGGCGTTAATTTCGTCTTCTGGTATTAGACCTCTGATGTTAGTTCAGATTGGAAGCAGTTAATATTCTGCCTTTATTCAGGGTTTTTGCTCAGTAGTTAGAGGGGACTTTGTGTAAAACTTAATTCAGTTTCAAATTTTAAAGGATAATAGGTTGGGTTTTGTTTTGGTTTTTAAGATTAATGTTTTACTACAAATAATCAGAGGATTCTTTCTTTTTGCTTTCATAAGATGACAGTGCATTTCGTCTGATAAAGCTGGGTTCATTGTCAAAGCTTCTTAAAAGTTTGCAAATTATAAAATAGGAATTTTGTCCATCTTGTAACAAACTAATCTTGTGCTACCATTTTGGCCTCTGGTATGGTATTTTCAGAATTTCTAACCTTCTGCTGAAGAGCTTGCTCATCTTGTTGCTTTTCTTCATATATGAATCAAGTGTTGGTCATGAATGAACAGGGAATTAGTTATTTCTCTTTTAAAAATCAAATAACAATTTTAAAAAGTATGAATATTGTTGCTTGATTTTGACACAACAGAGTAGTTTGTTCCATTTATATAAAGTATTATTTGCCAATTGTATGTGCATGTGACTGCTTGGAGTAATCTGTATTGGTAGAAGGCAATTGAATATGAAGATCTTAACACAGTTCTGTGAATAATCCCATTTTTTCAGGACAGGTTGTAAGATTTGTTTTATCTCTGATATATATGAGGGTACACAAAAGGTCTTAATTCTGAGTGGAAAGTACCAAGAGAGATAAGCTCTGTACCCGGTCAGCTAGTTGCTTATTAAAAACACTAGAAGCATAAAACTGACTTAAATATAGGGGCTGTAAGGATATGTATTCCATAACAGTTTCTATTATGCATCTGACTTTAAGGTCATTGTTGCTACTAGAGGCAATATGTTTTAATCTGAACTTTCAGTAGCAATTTGCATGCTGTATGTTTTTGTTTAGAAGAGATACGCTTTCTGATAAAACTCGGAGCGACTGTCTAACATCTTGAGTTTTCTTACTGCTTTAAATTAGGTTTACTGTTCTCGTGTGGAGTGAAGATGTTTCATGCATTAGGCTTTAAAATGAGGAAAAAAGCCCATGTTGGCATAATGACAATTAAGTACTTTGGTTACATTCAGAATCTAGTTTTGTTTTGAAAGTGTTGAAACATAAAACGATGCATTAAAAAAATGCTGGATGTTTTCTGTCCTCTGTTTTTTGAGATAAGATGTGGATTTGTCAAAGTTACTGCTTTACAAAATAATCATTCATTTTAGCTGGAACAGTTGTGTTTTTTTTCTGGAATTCTGAAGTAGCCTTTATAATAGTAAAGACTTAACTCTCTGCAGCAGACTACTTTGCATAATCTTCTAAATTTTTGGTTAATTTAAAAAGAAGGCTGCTTATACAGAATAATGATGAAAGCTCACCTGAAATTACATGAATTGTTACAGGCTTAATTTTTATTTTGCACAGTAGAAGCATTAATACCTTCGATTATTACAGCATCAAAATACCTCAGTTTCTGATCCTGTCTTCTGTGTACCACTTTGAAAAGTGATACTGTTACTGCTTATAGGGAGAGGCAACTTAAAGGTGGCAGAGGCTGCATAAGTGACTTTATAAAGAATCATTACCAGATTTTTCAGCTGAACCACTGCATGAGCCAGCCCTTTACTATATCCACAGTCACACTCTTCCTACTTTTGACAAATCTACTGCATTCCTGTATTTTCCTGTGACAAAAGCTGTGATTTTTATATATATGTATATATATATAACATATAACAATCTTTTGGCAGCCCTTGGTACAGAATGAAATGGATAATTCACTAACTCAGAATGTTAGACAATATTTTCATATTGATCTCTTGCTTATATTTTAATGAAGTTCAAATGTGTTATAGCTCCAAGTTGAACAGAATCAACAGTAAGTTGCATCATAGAATAATTAGGGTTGGAAAGGACCTTAAGAACATCTAGTTCCAACTCCCCTGCCATGGGCAGGGACATCTCACACTAAACCATATCACCCAAGGCCTCATCCAACCTGGTCTTGAACACTGCCAGAGATGGAGCATTCACAACCTTCCTGGGCAACCTATTGCAGTGCCTCACCACCCTAACAGGAAAGAATTTCCTCCTTATATCCAATCTTAACTTCCCCTGTTTAAGTTTGAACCCGTTACCCCTTGTCCTCTCACTACAGCCCCTAAAGAAGAGTCCCTCCCCAGCATCCCTATAGGCCCCCTTCAGATACTGGAAGGCTGCTATGAGGTCTCCACGCAGCCTTCTCTTCTCCAGGCTGAACAGCCCCAACTTTCTCAGCCTGTCTTCATACGGGAGGTGCTCCAGTCCCCTGATCATCCTCGTGGCCCTCCTCTGGACTTGTTCCAACAGTTCCATGGCCTTGTTATGTTGAGGACACCAGGACTGCACACAATACTCCAGGTGAGGTCTCACAAGAGCAAAGGGGCAGGATCACCTCCTTTGACCTGCTGGTCATGCTCCTTTTGATGCAGCCCAGGATACGGTTGGCTTTCTGGGCTGCAAGCGCACGCTGTCGGCTCATGTTCATTTTCTCATCAACCAACACCCCCAAGTCCTTCTCCTCAGGGCTGCTCTGAATCTCTTCTCTGCCCAACCTGTAGCTGTGCCTGGGATTGCTCTGACCCAGGTGTAGGACCTTGCACTTGTCATGGTTAAACTTCATGAGGTTGGCATCAGCCCACCTCACAAGTGTGTCAAGGTCCCTCTGGATGGCATTCCTACCCTCCAGCGTATCAACCGAACCACACAGCTTGGTGTCATTGGCAAACTTGCTGAGGGTGCTCTCAATCCCACTGTCTGTGTCGGCGACGAAGATGTTAAACAAGACTGATCCCAACACCAATCCCTGAGGGACGCCACTCATTACTGGTCTCCAGCTGGACATTGAGCCATTGACCACAACTCTTTGTGTGCAGCCATCCAGACAGTTCTTTATCCACCGAATGTTCCATCCATCAAAATGATGTCTCTCCAATTTAGAGAAAAGGATGTCATGTGGGACAGTGTCGAACGCTTTGCACAAGTCCAGGTGGATGACATCAACTGCTCTACCCCTGTCCCTCAGTTCTGTAGCCCCATCATAGAAGGCGACCAAATTGGTCAGGCAGGATTTCCCCTTAGTGAAGCCATGCTGGCTGTCACCAAGCACCTTGTTGTTTTTCATGTGCCTTAGCATGCCTTCCAGGAGAATCTGCTCCAAGATTTTGCGAGGCACAGAGGTGAGTCTGACTGGTCTGCAATTTCCCAGGTCATCCATTTTCCCCTTCTTGAAAACGGGTTATATTTCCCTTTTTCCAGTCGTCTGAACTTCACCTATCTGCCATGATTTCTCAAATATGATGGCCAGTGTGTTCCTCATTAATATTTTTCCTTTTTGTCTAATATCGTATTTAAAAATCCAAACAGTTTAAATGCATGCATAAGCAATTCAGGAAGCAAAATACACTACTCTAAAGAGGTAATCATGCAACAGCTAGGATAGTGCTTAAGGCTTGCTCATTCTTAGTGTTGGATGATGTGCATGTGTAACTCCTCAGTGAAGTAGGAAATAGCAGGCAGGCTATTAGCCACACCTCAGCATCTTGCAGGATGCTTAAGTACTCCCACTGTTTGCAGCACGCTGTAAACTTCCATGTGTTAAGGACTGTCTGACTTAAGGGGAATGTTTAGTGCTGCTTCCATCTTTCTGGACCATCCAGTCCTCACTAGGAGGTGGGTCAGGACGGAAGGGAGCATTGCAGATGGTGGTGGCAGTGTTAGATTTGCAAGAAAGGACCTTTATGATTCTGTGAGTGAATGTATGAAATTCTGGAAGGAGG